GGAGGAGGGGTCGGGCCGGGGGCGGGGGCTGCCGCCCTGCACCGGCTGCAGCTCACCGGTGAAAAGTTGCGAGGGCTTTGATTCCTTAAACGGGACAGTCTGTGGCCGGCCTGCCCCCCTCCAGCCCTAGACACCCCCTCCCCAGCACCCTTTCCCGGTTTGCCAGCCATAGCGCTCTAAAAAATGATTTATTTGCTCGAGGCGTCAGCAGCCGCGTTGTTGTCCCGCCGCACCGTGACCGGCCGGGAATCCCTGTAAGGGGAGTGGGAAGTACCGGTCAGTGATCTCCGAAAATCACCCCGTTTCCAAAAGGCAAATAACACACCGGATCCCGGCTCCGGCCGAGCAGCCGGGATCTCCGGTGGGTGGGAAGAAAAGCGGGTTTTTTCTCCTCTTTTCGCCGGGGCTAGTCACCCGCCTTCCCGGGGCCCGGGGCCGCCCCGGCTGGAGCGGGGGCTCACGGATTTTCTCGGGGTACCTCTCATTTCCAGACTAGCGGTCTGAGGTCATTTAGACGTTTCTAGTTTTGCCCGTGTTTGCTGTTTTCTGAAGTAAGCACTGGATGCGACTAAAAAGGTTTGAAATCGTGTCAAAGTGATGTTTTAATCTCATGGAAAAGTATATTAAAGGAGAAGATGTAATTTGTGGGGGATGTTTCGATGAAAGGAGAGATTGGAGTGGATGATACTTTCGCTCTCCTGTGAACCTCATGTCATGTTTATATTGAAGCCTGTGTAGCTAATCTAATTTGCAATAACAGGATGGCCTGCAAGAAAGCAGCTTCTGTATGATTTCATTTCTTTCTTTCCTCGTTTGTTTTTTACACAAATTCATTCTGACTTGCCCCGAATGATGCCTTTGCAACTTGGGGATAGCCGGGGAGAGGGTGCAGACCAGAAATATTTCCTTGACGGTGTTCTGAACCCCACTTGTGCGAGCGATGGCCGCGGCCGTGAGCAGCCAGGTTGCCCTGCTGGAAATGGGATGCCGCACTTTGGCTTCTGAAGCTCTTTTTTTCGTGACTGACATTTCGACAGCGCAGTTTTAAAGATTAACTTCGTAATAACTCCCGGGTGGTACCAGTCCGAGGAGCTCTGCATCCCCGCAGCTCTTCTTTTTCCTTTAAAAGTTCACCGTTACCGAACTCTACTTTCAAAATATTTTCCTTACGGTGGAAAGTGAATTGCTGGGTAGATATTTTTTTTGTCTACAGGGGCCCCCGATTTAACACATCTTGTAAAACGTCAAAGATCTGGCCATCCCTTTAGATGGAAAACCCAAACCCTAGAAAATAAGACGGTGCAGACCCTTATCTCCCGCGAGCCGTTTGGCCATCGGATTAGCACATACTCCCGGCGTGTGCCTCAGTAATAGTAATTAAAAAAAAAAATTAAAATATCTGAACAGACTTGAAAATTGCGACTTTTGTGTAATGTAGGAAGGTGTATCCAGCCTGTTAATTACAGGGGGGTTGTGTCATTGGAATGTTATCAATGACCCGTTTAATTTTACTGTAATTACTGACAAAATAAGACAAGGAGAGATCACAATACAGGATATTCCTCTTTCGGAACAATATCGCGCTGGAAGTCGAGCTAAGACGTAACATAAACAAGCATTTTAGAAAATGCTCCTGCTGGCAGAACTTGGCGAAGACCCGGTTCCTCTTTCTCCGCCTTCTCCCGACTCCCCACCGGCCGAAGGATCGGGCCCGTTTCGGGGCGAGGGGGCACTCGGCATGGAGGGGGGGGGGAATCTCTCTTAGGCGCGGGCTGACGGTCCCACCGAGGGGTGCCTGGCCGTCCCTCCCGCAGTGTGGGCCCCGGGAGCCCTGCTGGGGGGTGAT